TTCTCAACAGAAATGTAGGAGAAAAGCTTGGTATTGCTTTGGTTCTACAATGCTAATTTTGGTTAGTAGATAATAAATGAAGCCTGCAAACACTTGATACAACTGATGTCTAAAGAATTCACACCATTAGTAATTTTACAAGGGAAGATTAAAAACCCCTATAATGATCTAGGTATCTTCCTTTCCCTCCCCAACAATAATAAATGTTTGTCTTTTTAGCTGATTAAATGAATTCAGTTTTTCTTACTTCTTCGGGCCCCGTCCTTCACTTGTTCATCACTGAGACACACCACTTCACCTGATCCGAAACGGAAAGAAATCCACGCGTCCGAGTCACACTTGATTTGCCACACAAAACATGCACCAGTAAGATCTGAGAAACACAATGGGATTAAGTTTCATTTTAGATGCTACAAATGACAACTATGGACTATGTGCCAACAGCATCGTAGTTGCCTGAGCATTTTCGGTAAAGTACTTCTATAAAGGAAGGATACACACCTTTATCCTCATGTGACGAACTTCAAAAAAGCTGGCAATCTTCTAGGCAACCTACAGCATCTGCAACTACTGATGGGAATGGAAATGTAAAGGAATAATGTCCCTATAGTCTGGAGGAAGTAGAGATTAAACCCAAAAAAAAAAAAACCAGAAGAAACACTCATGGCTCTGGTAAGTGCTAAATTATACACAAAAAATCCCCAACTGCAGCTGGACCTTGTCATCACAAAACTCTATTCCAAAAGAAACACAAGGAAGACCTCAAGCTGTGTTTTAGGGATAGAGGAAAGGCTGTGCATAATTAGAGAACTCCTTTGTAGTCCTTGATACAGCATTAGGTACTTGATTTCTGCTTAGTTTCTCCCAAGAACTATTTTTCTCACACTGTTTCTATGCTGTCATTCTCAGAAGATGAAATTTCTTACCTCCAGAGGTAAGATCCAGATTCATCCAGGATTTGCTTAACGAACAACTTTTCCTCTTATAACGTATTAGGAATCCAGAAATAGATTAACCTACTCCATTTTTTATTTAACACTGACTGAAGGGCCCAGTGCTAATTCTCCATTACAATAAGGAATACCAACAATTCAGCCCTGTAAATCCCATGTAGGTCTTCACCTTCCACTGCACTTTGCATCTATCTGAGCCTTAGAGGACAGGTTGGGACAACTGTCACTCTGGCTACATTTTACATTCTTCACTCTCGTTTTCATTTAGGTTCTCCTCTCTGCTCAGTCTGATTTGAGGTAACCATGTCTTCTGGGTGACTTCTATAAACCCTTCAGAAACACAACCATCCACTGCCCTTCAAGAGATGCTCTAAAGCTTAAGATCTGTTTGACCCCAGAGTTCCCCTTGCACAACAGCAGCAGCTCTGACAACACAGGGTGAGAGGGAAATGAGAAGTGGAAAATCTCACAAGTTATTGCATTGAATCCTAAGGGAAATTTACCACATCGTCCCAGCTGCCTTGCAGTTAAGAAGCTTTTGCTTGGGTACTATGATTAAAACATTAATTCCTTCATGCCTGCCCCCTCTCCCTATAGGATGTGCATATCTTTATGAAAGCATTAAAACTATCCATGTGGGTAGATTCTGACTTCAGGCTTCAGTAATGCCACCAGCTACTCCTGAGTTCACACCATTGCAAGAGCAGAAATTGATTTTGCAGCTCAGTTATATTCTGCCTGTTTCCAGAACATCTGTGCTTCCTCCTCTGTAAACTCAGCTTTTAGCAGCGAGTTCCCACCTCTAAGACCCAGTGCTGGCCCTTCATCTGTACCCACTGGTACGTAATTAGTGGTTTATTAATTGCTAACATTTAAAGCTCAACCACAACTTCTACATATATAGCTTTTCCTCTGACTGCATGAAGGTACTCATTTTTTCTGGACCAACCTGATGCGTCTCTACAACTGAAATTTCAGACAGAAGAAATTTCTGAGAAGAGGTTTCTGCTTTTTCAGTCTTCCAAAAAAAAAAAAAAAAACCCTAGCTAAAACCACTGTGATAACAGTCAAGTGCAGCAGTCATTAATCTGGATAAAGTGATTGTTCTTGTAAATTGCCTCCTCTCTCCTTAAAGTTTCAGGGCCAAAAAGAAAATACATCACTGAAACAAATGTCTGCTAGGACAAATGAGCCGACTGAAATAAAGAAGAGAGAAAGCAGGGCTAAGGCGAGAGCATTCAAAAAAGAACTGAGCACAAAGCTGCTTACAAAAAAGATATCCTGAAGATATTACTCTGCCAGTTTGCATATCCCTTTCATAATTTCAAAACAAAGCAACCTACTTTTCTGCTTTCCACATAAATCCTGGAAGGAACTTTGCCTCTGAGCTCACACACAAACTACCTTCACTTCAGGAAAACATGCTTAAATGATGAAGGTTATTTTTAAGTCACTCACTTACTTGAGTTTGGGCATAAAATACCTGTCTGTTCAGGACTCCCAAAGCCTCTGCATTCATCTAGGACTGTAAGGGCCCAGTTTTTCTCCTAGGGAAATACAAATGTTCACTTTCAATCAAGAACAATATTTGAATTCAAATTTAACCGAATGTTATAAAACAGGTCCAGAACTGCATCCCTTGACTTTCGTTATCTGACAAAGCAAACGCTATAACAAGATATCTTCCCTGTCTCAGCCTGGCAAAGTCAGGTTTCCAACTCTCAGCATTCACCTGAACACTTAAAAAACTTCATGCAAGTGCATAGGTCCAAACATCCCCAGACACCAAATATTGAAAGTGCGTGCTCCAAGGCTTCCACCGTTTTTCCTGCTGCCCAAGCTAGAGATTCCTTGGGCAGCACAAGGCAAAATGTTACATTTGTGTTAGCTCAGCTGTCATTCTGAGGTACCTGCAGTGCCTCTGGACTCAAAGGGCTTAGCAGGGATGACACAGCCTGTGCAGAGGCTGCTGACTGTGAGTCACAGCAGCACAAGAGCACACAAGGCTTAAGCCCAGGGAAAGCAGCTCAGCAGGGGCCACGCTTTGCTGGGGTGGTGTCAGTGCAAGTGGGTGACTGGAGGAAAGGCAGCAGCTCAGGAGGTGGGAAATGAGAAGGACTCAGGATGAGTTTGGAAAATGGGTTATGCAAGCAGGAGCAGTGGAAACAGCAATCAGCGGAGAGGGGAAAGAATGGCAGTGAGATTAACTCAAAATGATCCTCAAGAGCCACTAGCCTACAAGGTAGAGCCTTGGCCTGGGACTAGGGAAATGGGAATTTTATTCTTGACTCCCCTGTGGACATGCTGGCTTACCTTGGTTGGGCCAATTTAATTTTTTGTGCCTCAGCTTCTGTTTCTGTGACATTATGCTCTTTTTAAGTGTTCTGATGTCAAAAGAGGAAAAGCCATATTTAAGAAGGAATAGTTATTATAATCTACTCAGAATTAAGGCACCAGAGGAGAGAAGTATCTCTTCATTATTTAAAAGATGCCATATTTCCCTGTCTGCAGAAGAACACAATGGCCCTGTAGGAATCCCTTTTCTTTTGTACTTTAAAGCAGAGGATTATTATGGAAAATTATTAAGCACCCACACAGTTAAAATGACAGAGCATTTTCATTACTGATTGGCAACTCCTCTGCTGCCCTAATTTAGGTACCACATGTCTTCATGCATTCAAATCAGTAAAAACAAAACAAAAGCTAAACTCACTTGACATTTGCAGCCAAACACTAAAGTCATGTCAGAACATAAAAAATCTCCCAATTCCTGGCCTCACTTCTAAATAAAAAAAAAAAGTAAAAACACAGTCTGCTCGCAAAGTGTTCACATATACTTAAAAGAACTCTGGTGACCAGGGAGTACTGGAACAATACTGAATTGACATTCTGAAACTCCACTTACAACTCTCAACCCCAAAATCTGAAGACGGAACTCCCTCCAAAGATTGCATAGTATCTGGATAATCAGGTGCTCTACAGGCAAAGCAGCCTGGAAACAGATGAGGAAGTTGGAAACAAACTGAGAGAGAAGCTAACCAACACAGGAATTGGACTTACACTCCACCCCTACCAACCTGCAAAGGTACATCTGGAAATGAGACAAAATCCAACACGTCACCAAACAAAAATGCCAGAGAAAATTTTGCAAAATAAATGTCACTCCTGAATTTTCTCCTCTTTAGGCCAGCTTTTATTCAGGCATAACTACTTTGTTGTTCTTGTTTCCAATCAAGCTGAAGAATGTGTGCTCCCAATACTCTAAATTTATGCTTCCTCACTCTCCCACAAGGAAACACGTGGTTCATCCAGGCCACGATTCAAACACAGAGACTATTTTCACTGGTGAATATTTTCAGTCACATACTCTATTTTGATGTTTTACAGAGGCGCTGATGAGTAAAAACTGCTGCTGCATTAAAAACAGGTGAATGCTGAGACAACTGACTGATGAACCTGAATGAAATGCACAAATAGCTCAAGACTGTGCCTGACTTCAGTCCTTTAACATCTAAATGGGTTACAAAACAACAAGGGCTCTACACATGCAGTTCCTCCAAATTAGCTTCAAAGGCACATATGATACAAACCTACATCTTCTCACCCAGTAGAAGGCCATTTCCAGAAAAGCAAAGCATTTAAATTCAAGGCTATTATTCTTGCTAACATAGAGCAAAACATGCAAGATCAGCATTTACTGGGAAATAAGAACAGCACAAAAGCTAAAGCAAAAGAACAAAGCACATACTGCCTCTTTTTTGCACATGTATCAAGATATTAATATGTAAAAAGTTAAAAGTGGCCAATTATTTTTGTGTCAGCTGGAGTTGTCAGCAAATTCCATATAGGTGCCACTTTTCTACTGTGCACATTTTGAACCACAATCAAAACCACAAAAAATTATTCCCAACCCCAGGCTGTATCCATTCCGAGCCTTTGGAATTTGCAGCTAGTAGTAAATAGCATAAGCAGGACTCAAATACTGATAAAAAATTCTGGAGTCCTTTTCTAGAAAATACCTAGCTAAAAGAAAAAGCCCAAGACTTACCATGCACCGTAAAAATATCAAAATTGCTCAGAGTGACCAAGGTCTGTCATTGTCTTGATCTCTAACATGGAAAAAGGAACTGGAATCCCAAAATTACTTAAGTCTTGTTTAAATCAGATCCAGAGTTCATGGAATCAAATGGAAAAAATAGTAAGTACTTGGTTAAATGCTGGACTAGATCAGAGGCCTGATCAAAATATTTCTGAGTCTGCAAGGTGAAGATAGATGTTGCTGTTTTTGCTGAGGAGAACTGGAAATTTCAAGATATGCTATGGATGAGAAAACACCCAAACACTGCAGGTCAACAACTCACATTATTATAAATAAACAGTGGGAGAACAATAACATCAATGAAACAGAATTGCTTGTCTCTCATCTCACTCCCACCACAGCAGCAGGCTGGAATGCTGTTGTGTCATGAGATTATTCAGTCCTCAGGAGCTGTATCTTGGCTCTGTCCTCCCCCTCCTTTTCCCTATGTTTTAGATGACTGCATCAGGCTCTCCATTGCCATTGATTTAAATATTTTTCCATGGTCACCTTTCTCTTGTACATTCAAACTGATCTCCTTGATCAGTTGTCCATCCTTATTTCTAAGTCTCACAACTCAACACATGCCATAAAAAGCACAATCAAATCACTTTCTCCCACCCTCTCCACAATCTCTCTGTGCTCAAAACATGCAGCTGAGAAAAAGCTCCTGTCACTCATCCAGAAGTGACCTTTGTGGTGATTGCAGATGGCAAGACTAGTCAGACACCAAAAGGACTGCCCACATGCAGACAGAGAAGTCAGTGTTGTATAAGGAGCAGTGACTGGGCAAACCATCTTCCATCTTTCAAATGAACACACTTCAAATACAGAGCCTGGCACGCTGAGCACAAATGCATCAAAAAACTCAGAATGCCACACCAAGTCAAATAACATCAGTGACCACCAAGTGGCCCAAAAAAGTCCGCCGAGAGACAGAAACTTCTGACACAACACACACATCGTCCCACCAACATTCTTTGAACTGGAACAGGAGCATCTTGTGCAGGTGCACATGGAGGTTTTACGAGTATCTGCAGATCTCCTAGGACTTCAAATAACAGAAAGGCACACAACAGCTTTCTTCTCTTTCTCCCCCTTCACCAAAAGGCCTGAAAATTCTCTGGACTGAAGGTCAGCAGTTTACAACTTGTTCTCTCTCATGAATGTCAGCTCACTGTGGCAGGTTTACTTATCTTCAGAAAACAGGAGGGGAGAGCAGCTGCACAGACACGTGGTTAACTTGTTCCAGTGTCTTTTCGAAAATATATATATATATATATTATAAACTTTGTCAGTTCATTTCCAATTGAACCTGAATGCAGAATGCTTATGTAACAGGCTTCTTGCTTCATTTACCACAGAAGACCTGTTAAAGAACTCTGTGAACCAGAGCACACTGGGTCTGCATTTTGCCTTGCAGAGACTGACCTTATCCACGAGCATTATCAACAGGCAACAGTCATAAACTCTTAACATCAGCATGGAAAGTTGTCTCCTTCCACTTGATTAGGAACTTTTCACTCTGTGTTCCCTTCCTCACAGAGAAAGCCATAGCTGATTTTGTACAGTGCTTTATTCTGCAAACAAAGCCACTGACATACAAAACAGGGCATTCACTTCTGAAAGAACGAGCAGCAACTTGGTGTTGACGTTCAGCCATGTACCTTCTACAATGAATTCAATTCACTCTCTGTACTACAGCAGCACCAGAAGCCCTGACTGATGACAAAGCCCTCACTACATCAAGAAAAGTCATTACTTCCCAAGTCTTCAAGCTATACAGGCACAACAAAGGAGAGAAAAACGCAGTTCCTGCCTTTCAAAGAGGAAGATCAGATGCAGATATGAAACACCAGATCAGGACCAGGAACAAACTCACATACTCCTTTGCATCTTCACCATATCACCCCAAATCATTCCTTGCGTTCCAAAAGTACGTTCATGTTACAGGAATAAAAAATTGAAAACAATTTCAAATACCCAATTCACATTTATTTGTTACATAATTTGTTGGACTCCTCTGTAATGAACTGCAGCTATAGCACACACAGTCACAACATGTCCAGTCCAGTAAACCTCATGTAAGGCACATATTGGCATGATTAATCAAGGAACAGACGTATTTAGAGGAGATGATTACTGAAGCAAGAGAACACGTTTATTTGGTAGACAGATTTTGCAGAAATCATAAATAGAAACCTCAGACAAGACTGTGAAAGAAAGCACGAGAAACTGTTCAGTGCATATAATAGAGAAGCTTTTGTATCCAGAAAGTGGCATTGAGAACAGTCAATAAATATCAACTTAGATAATTAAAAGTGCAAGACGTCACAGCCTGGAACAGTATATTGCCATGAAGAGCCACAGCTAACACATGGATTTTTAAAAAAATCCATTTTACAACAGAAATCTGAATTCTACATATTTTTCATAGGATCCATTTAATTATTCTTTTGGTATCTGTAATAGTTAAAATCAACTTCATAGTCTGCTCAAGTTTCTTATCTGCTGAATAGAAAAATAAAATACTCTTGAAAGTGAAGCCAAGAACTATAACTGCTGTAAAATCAAGGGTGAAAAAACCCATGCAGCCCATATTATCACCTTAATTCCTTCCCTTTCATATGTAAGCTGATACATCATTAGAAGGTCTTCCCGTCCTATTTCCTAAGAGCCTTTCTCTGAGCACTCTGCAATTCTGTAAGGCTTCTTCCTTGGCAAGCCTGCTTTAAAAATTAAACCACTGTTTAGCAACAGTAGGTCTCATTAAAAGGTGCATTTACTACACAGTAGAATTCTCTATACTTAGAACTTGAAATACGTTAAATACCACAGCAAATGTAAGTGTTGCGGGTGGTAAACATCCAGTTTAATGGCATCCACTGTATTTGTATGGAAAAAAAACCAGTTTTATAAATAGCTTCCAAAATTTTGCTACTAACAGGCAAACACATCACATTTTACACTTGTTCCTTTCTCCTACAAGTGCTAGGCCTATGTTCTCTGTCAAACCCCCACCTGGAACAAGTGCTGTGGGCATGCTGTGAAACAGCAAATCAGCTGGGCTGCAAAACAGAAGTGAGAACCAACCTGAAATTATCAGGAGCATTCTGGTCTGCCTTTTAGGCTGGAGAACTTGTAAAATCTTTCTGGTTAGATTTTGATGTCTTCCTACTCCAAGGCAGATGGAAACACAGGAGCTAAACTGGATCAAGCTGTCCTCAGCAGCCACAACTGACTTATGCCCTTTGATAGGAACCTTTTGAATGTTTTTAAGAGCTCTTAGAAGTTTTTCTTCCCTAAGCAGTAGCTTCAGAAACTTCAGGTTTGGCTTGCAAGTTAATAACTTACACAGGTCTGCATCCCTGTAAATCTATAATAAACTGATGTCTGGCAGAAAAAATAATAGATGAAAAATATTGCTCCTTTCAGTTTAATCAAGACAAAGTTAGTTCAAAAGGGCCTCATTTTCCCTTTTTGCCAGCCTGCTAAATTATATTGTTTCTTTTCTTTTAATCCTAATCTTCTGCTTAAAAACTGTGCATGCATCTAGCCACTTTCACTGGCATTTCTCTGTGACACAATTTTCTGAGCTGCTGGGAGGTCACAACCGCAGTAGAAGTTGGCAGGTGAAACATTTCATGATGTAAAGATACAATAACAAAAACCACCTTTGTCAGACTATTTCTTCAGACTGAATTTATACATCAGTAAGCCACTAAGCAGTCAGTTTCTTCCTCAAAGACTTCTCAGAAGAACAAGAAAATGTAAATCTGTCTTCAGTTGTATTGCACCAAGGCAGAATGTCTGTGGGTAAGAAAGTCAATTCCTGTGGCAAGAGCCCAGGAAACACTTTTTAAAATATTACAGCTTTTTATGCATAGTCGTTCCTTTGGGATTTAGGAAAAATATCTGCAGTTTCCAACTGTTAATCATGGGCAGCTCCCCTGTAGTGCCTCTGAGCTGCACAATCCAAAGGAATCCATCCACATCCATGATGTTATGATTCCAGGTGTGCTGGGTCTAGTGAGGAGTTTTGACAGAGGGCCATGGAGTGTCCTGCCCCACATCCAATTAAGATCTGTTTTGCACAGCCAAGAGCTTTGACTGGCTTTGGGACATGAACATTCGCTTCTGTGCCATCACCACACATCCCATGTTCATTCCATCCCCAAGAGAAGCACTGGCCACCTGTAAGAGAGGACAGAAAATACAGAATAAACAGCACAGTAACACAACAGCTTTGGTTAGCTTTGAGGAGCAGATTTGTCAAGTCATTTTCTGTTTAGGTTCTAAGAAATTCTGCTAAGGTGGGAAAAATATTCTGGTTTTCTTCAAAATGTAAATAAACCCAAATGACTGATTCTCCATCCTGTTTCATTGTTAGCAACAGAAGAGAGATCAAAATAACAAAGACACTTGAAAATCACTTAGTAAATACATAGTTCAGTATTTATGCAGAGCCCACAGAAATCTCTCTGCATTTTAAGAGCTCTCCCTGAAATGATGTAGAACCTCTTTCAAGTTTCCCCCAGCAAGCAGGATTATGATAAATCAAGAGCAGTGACTTTATTCATTCACAGCACGATCTGCAGGACTGGGGAACACAAAGCCAGAGTTCAGCCACATTGCATTTCATTCCTAGCTTCAAGTTCACATATCACCTCTTTCCTTTAAATACAAGCCTTCAACAGCGTGCCCTACTCTTAATCATCCCACCTCTTGGGCTTGCTTTGACATAATTCCACTGATTTTATTATTCTTACTTTTCCACATTATTATTTATTTTTGTAATATCTATTCTTTCATATCCCAAATAACAATTCATGTATTATTACTACCCCATAGTACTCTTTATTGAAGCACAGCATGCAAATTTTGCTCTATAAAAGGCTGGCATAATAAAAAATCCACCAAAACCTCCTTGTTCTGAACTACAAGTGCTATTTCTTCCCTATTTTCTATTCCTTATTTAGCTGCCAGAGACTGTGTCTGTGACTTTCTGTACTAAAAAAAAAAGCCATCCTGCCATATAATCATGTTAGTGATGCCATTGTTATTTTTGAAAAGCAGCAGGTAATAACAGCAGGAAGTAGCATTCTGGATTCCAAATGATGAGAAGAAAAGTGCCAAAATTCACAAACTCTAATCTCAGTCACAATTTCAGTCACAATTTTACTTTTCAAAATTCAGAAACAGATTATTGCAAAGCTAGCAGGGCCATCTTCTCTGCAAATCCTGTAACATTTCACTGTCCTCTGCTCTCTTTACATTATCAGTATATTGATGTTCCCCTCTTCTGCAATGAACTGTAAACATTACTGAGGCCAGTACTGAGGCCAGATGTAACTAAGCAATGACATTTCATTTTCTTGACAATCTTTAAGGCAATGGAACACAACAAAGCACCACCAGAAAATCACAGCAGGCAAGGCACATCTCACCTGATACATAAGTTCTGCCTCTCTTATCTCAGGAGTCACCAGATGTTCTCATGGTTGTGCATGTGCAACATTGACAGCACAACCTACACCCCAAATGCACTCACATGTGCTGCCAAAAAGTGCCAAAATCTGAGTGGGCAATATATCCCATTTAAAAATCAACAGAGCGTCCTACAGGTTAAGGGAATTTTGCTTTTTTGTAAGGTTCCAAGTAAAAACGTTTCTGTAAATATTAAAACACAGAAAAAAAAGACACCTCAAGCCCATGCTGGAGACACATCTCAGACTAACCATTCAAGGAAGCTGCACCTAAGAAAAGACATCTTTTGGCACAGTTAATATGTGAACCCTGCAGAATGAGCCAAGCTTACAAATGTAAAGAAAAGAGAATGCAACAAGCCCTAACTTTAACAAGATCACAGTGATAACTTTTTGTAATTAGACACCAGCAATTACAACAAAAACTTACATGCTTCTATGAAGACTCACTACGTCTGTTTAAAGGGTTTCTTGTTTCTTTTCTCATCCTGTCCCATCAGGACAAGAGAGAAGAAACCAGAAATGCTCTGGTCACTTTGTATTACAAACTGCTCAGTGGAACATTATCATTATAATAAATAGTCAGAGAAACAGTGCATTAGGGCACGAACTTCTCAAATTAATAAACATATCCAGTGAAATATCTTTTGAAAAAACATCATAGAAAAATTTACAAGCTAGGGACCCCCTAGACAAGAACATCTTTCCTAAAGCAATGATTGTGGAGTCTTTTCTATACAAGCATGTCAAAAGGCCACCAAAATAGATTTTTCTACATGATTCCAGTGATCGCTAAGGTCAGGGAAATGGGACAAGAGTGAAAACTGGCAAAAGAAAAATAGAAAGTAAGTAGGATTTATGAATGGTCTTACACAAAAATGCCTTGTACATCCATGGAGAGATGGCAGAAATCTGAAGAGATGAAAGGGCAGCTGACAGATATGGAATGACAGGCCACAAAAATGTTTCTCATCACCATCAAGTCAGAACCAGGAAAGCCAAAAGGCAGAGAATTTTGCTGTGCAAATGGAAGGCGCAACTGTACCACATCTGCCTGTAGAAGATTCAGTGAAAGGTTTGTACACAGAAATAGCCAGATGCTTGACTTGTGTCAGAGAAAGCAGAACGTGCAGAAAACACACCAAGTCCATCTTTTGGACAGCAGCATATTAACAAATTAACTTGGAGGTGGGCTGGACAAAATGAGCGTGGTCAAAGTGGCCAGGAGGGAACAAGTGAGTGAATCATTGGCACAGATGTGAAAGTCAGTGAAGGCTGAAGGTAATGAAGCATCTATTTCAAAAACTACATAAAAGGAGTATCTGCAGAGTTAAAGGCAGACCCTAAGAAGAGCTAATGGCTAGCCTCTGGACGAAGGGCACCATTTAATGGTTTCTTTCCTTTTCCCATGTCCCCCTCCCTTTCTTTTTTCCTTTTCTTCTTTTATTTCTGATTGCTTTTATCCCCCAGTTTATTGCTGATAAAAACACAGAACCAGCAGCCCTACATGCCTTCATAAGAAAATTCTGTTTCTATGTCTGTGTCAGACCTTCCCAGCATGGAAGAGTATTAGAATGACGTGTATTAGACATCTACAAATTGCCTCTAACAATATTTAGATCAAGCACTGTGGCATGTTCTCAAACCAAAGGATTTGTGTTTGGTGAAGTGAGGGAAGATTACTCCATGTTGGTGGTTTAGTGAAACCACATATAATGTTGCATTTACTCTTCTCTTTTAAAACATGAGTACTCAAAGTACAAACCAAACCCACAGAACTCACATGGAACACAGCAGAATCCCAAGGGAATTTCAGTTGCACTCACAGCAACTCTAATCAAAGTTCAGAGTCAGGTTATGCAGGATTTTTCCCAAAATATTAAATATACAAGACAGAGGGACAACAAAAGTCTGAACAAATCTGTTTTGGTCAAACAACACAAGAAGGGGCTACTGCTCTCCTTCTGTCTGCAATAATTATCCAGGCTTTTCTCAAGATAATTGAAGTGACAGCAGCAATCTAGAGCTTCATTAAACTGGAGAAGAGTAAAATAAATATTTCTAGGTAAAATAAAGCTGCAGAGATACAGTAAGAGAAAATTAGATAAAATAAGACTGGAGAGAATTCTGGAGAAAGAAGAGAATTAGAGTTGCTCCTTATTGCTGAGTGGAATCCTCAGATGGAAGAATCAACGTTAGCAAATAAGGCACTCTGGGTGAGATTCACTGCACTTAACTTCAGCCACCCAAAAAATCAAGCAACTTAGCTACAGATCACTAGCCTCTGTATTTCTCAAAAGCCAACAGAGACATCTGCATCTCTCCAGCAGAGTGAGATATCCATCTCATGCAAACACTGGTGTGAAAATCAAGTCTGTCTCGCTTTGGTGATAATAAAGGGAGACCAGGGGATTGTCCCAGCCTTGGCATATCAGTTTTATGTAGCTGAAGACAGGTTATATTAAATCACATCTTCACAACTGGTCTGAAGGCAAAGCAAAGAAAACTAGAAACAAGGAAGCTGCAAATATCACTGTAGCCTAGCTTCAGGCTACAAACAGTCTGCTTCTAAACCAGCCTGTGCCCTGGAAGCTTATCACTAAAATCTTTAAAAGCTCCTCGTTTCTTATTCTTCTTTCTCATTCCTTCTACCAGCAAATAAACAGAAGTTGGCTTACAGACAAGCCAAGTATCTTGAAGTCAAGTTATTCAAGAGAGAGCTCCACATTTTAGGGAAATGTTAAGATGTTTTAGTACAGCTCTTATATTGCCTATGTGCTCTTAGCAAAACTCCACAATACTTCAAATTATTACTTCTTTTTTACCTTAAATTAGTGCTACTCTACTCTTTTGTTATAGACAAAGTTACAGTAGGTAGGAGACCAAAGCAGATCAAGTCACAACTCTTTAAACAGCATCAGGGCTGGACCACAAACAAAATTCAGGCATCTCAGCCACCTTCCCTTGATTATTTGAAAGCTGTAAAAACCTCTCAAAGAACAATGTAATACTACACAGAAGGAGATTTAGACTTTACTTCTCCCAGAGAGCAGCAAAACACAAATTACTATGTTTTTCTGGTCTTTTCAGGCCATCTGGTTGTTCAGGGTGTCACATAAAATAAAAGGCAATAAGCATCCCTCTAAACTTTTGTATTTTTAATAGCAACAACTCTGCCATTAGTGCAAAAGATCTGCAATTTTAAATTATAAGAAACAGGCTTGATATAAACTGCTTTCTGCAGAAAAACATGGAACTGTATTAGTAGTTAAAAGGGAAGTCTAGGCATTGGGCAAAATCTCAATAAAGACAAAGCTTGGTAAGTGGAATGTATGATGGCATCATCTCAATAGACAGCTGTACCTCCTAAACTATAAAAGAACCATAAGAATCACATTCATTTTTCCACATTTTCAAGGAGCAAGCTGTCATGTGCTCCCGGCAGCCCATCCAATTGCTGTTCAACCCACAGAAATGTGTGTCTGGCTTTCAAGGGAGTGAGCTGGATAAAAATCAGACACATTGCAGTGCTAACACAATATACAGGTAAGAAACACCATACGTGTTTGATATTAAGTACAAAGCCATGGTGCTAAAGGCATGCTCATTTCAAAGTTAGCCTCCAGTCAACAACCTGCCCTCACTCCACCTTGACATCATTAGTAGCTCTCCTCAGGCAGCAGACCTAAACCACTCAGTCCCCTCAGC